TGTAGACCACAGAAATGTTCTGGAAGTTTCTTCACCAGCTCTGCAACACTAACTGTGCTGTTGCTTGTTGCTGAAACGAAGGTGCCGTTTTTTTTCAGACTGTCTTGTGACCTCTGGATGAAGATTTGTGCTTGTCAGGCTTTATGGATATAATAAGTCTCGGCGAGGCTTACGCTGTTGTCCCTGCTGCTGCAGAGTGTTAGCACTGATTGGAAATTGATCTGCTGCATGATAGCGCCATGTTTACTCAGACTAAACGATGCCTGGAAGAAAGAAAATAAATAAACACCTCTCCGGTTTCAGTCCAGTGAGATGAATCAACTGTGTGCACTAGCTCTCAGAAACTGACAGTGACATCCTTGACTTCCTTTTACAACTCTGGCTGCAAGCACCAGATATAAACTCTTCTGAGGTGTTTTTGTGGGGGTGTATTGTTTTTGTTGTAAAAATAAAAATCACTTCTTTGTGATGCATCTAAATGTGTCAGGGTGTGTGATGCTGTACAGTAATTTCTTTTTGTCGTCATTGTTTTGCTCTAGCTCTGCTGCATGTTCTTTATTTTTCCTCCGCTGCAGCACTGAGTTCAGTAACTGGCAGGTCGGAGAACTTGGGGGTCAGTTTTACGAGGAGCCACAATCACTGGAGCCTGAAAAGCCTGGAGCCAGCAAAACAGGAGGTGCTGAAACACGAGGCACAAGAACAGGCCTTTATGAGTGCAGTCAGAAGCAAAGCCAAGCAGCAGATAGTGAGCTTTCTTTCATCCTCAGGGCTACAAGTCTTCCACCTTTTACTAATTACTGTGAAGTGAGGAGGGGTGTCATGCTGAGTTTGTCACTCCGGAGTGGAGACCCTCTCTATATTTCACTGATGGACACAGGCTACTGCAACACATTAATCAACACGTCCATAAATAAAAACGCCGCCTTCCAATCCTGCTGCTAAATCTGAAACGCTGGCTTTACTTCAAGAGCTTCCAGTGTCACAAGTGTCTACACCTCAGCCAAGAGTGAGGGAGACAAAAATCAATACCTGCCTTACAGGAATCAAGCTATCATTTTCTCTGCACTGGAGGCTGTTGCTGGCCATTAAGGATCAGTAAGCTGTTGATGGTCAAATTTTTAATAATGTTATTGCTATAGACTTCTGCTATAATGCCATGGGAGGCTGATGATGTCGGTCAGAGACACCAGTATGTAGTTGCAGATGGAAAATAGTCATTTTTCTTCCACTGTGGAAGTTGTCTAAAGCCCTGTTCAAGAGGATTAGTTTTAGCAGAGGAGGTCCGGAATTGTAATCTGTGTGTGATTTGATTGGCTGATTCATACAGGATAAAGGATCACTGTATTTTCCCCAAATTACACCAAATAGCCCAGATCAAAACATTAAATTTATGTCAGCATTGTAAGGCACCACACCTCTAAGCAATAACACGTTATGTGGCTAACTGGCATATTAACTAGCATTAGGCTAGTAAAGTGGGTTCATTCAGCTTAACAAATGGCACTCAACAGGACTGAAAATGCACTGCCTTGCGAGAGGAGCCTTCGAAAATTTCATTTTCTTTCTCCTTAATTAGGCCGTCACCAAAAATGTTGAAGTTTCAGTATTATTGTCAGGAACTTGAGGATTTAGGGTCAAACTGAGCTCCATTTTAGCTGATAGCCTCGTCTTCAAAAAAAAGAAAATAAAGGTTTTCTACAAAGCTGAAGTCGGCCTTTATTCACCAACTTTTTGGTTGAGTTTTCTTGTTTCACCTTAAATGGTGCAGCAGTTACAAAATTCATACAAGAAGCTAGTGAATCAGAAATTGGTGTGAATAAGAAAATGCTGCACCACTTAACAGGAAAACCCGAACAAGAAGTTGGCAAATCGGAAGCCAACCTCAGCCATTTTCTATTAGCTGGTTTTGTTACTACATTACTGAGATGTCGATTAGTGCAGGACTGCTGATACTGAGGAAGGTCAGAGTTTGGAGAATTGCAGGAGGTAATTTGCTCTGGAATTATTACTTAGCAGACTTAGTAAAAACTACAGACATGGCAGATTCATACTGGATTAAAATCATGGAGCTTGTCTGTAATCAAATTACAGCACATCCCCAAGTAATACTAATTCCACTTGAATAGGGCTATTGAAGGGAAAACATTACAGTGATGGTGACATTTCTGACTGAGAATCTAGAGGACTCATTTTATGCCCTTATTAAGGTATTTACCTAATTTTTGCAAAAAATATGTTGCTTGTTGGTAAAGCAGTTTTCCTTTTTCAGAGAAGAGCAAGGTCTGCAAGGTTTTCTTTCCTAATTACCTGCAGAATGACAATACATGATGTGATACCCAACAGTGTCCGCCAGCAGTAGATGCTAAAGTGTATTAGAGCATAGTCAAAGTTGTGCAGGTTGGCACAGGTATCTAGTGGTCTTTTGGTCATTAATATTAGACAGGAAAAAAAAGGAAAAGTGTCATTTTGTTTTGTACAGTGTCCAGTGTTGTGATGTAATGCAGAAGGAGATGAAGAGGCTGGATGCAAGTACAAGTCCAAGATTTTTATCATAATCAATAAAGAAAACAAAAGGAATCCACAAAAGCAAAGAAACAAAGAATGAGACAAAGAAAGAACACTACAAATCAAGAAAACAAAAGCCTAAGAAGCATGAAGAAAACCAATATTCAACAAAGAAAACCATTCAACAGGGCCTGTGAAAGAAAACCGTCAAGCAAACTCAAGACAAACAAACAGGTTATAAATACACTCCTGGGAGTAATAACAAGTTATCTGGCTAACAGAAAAATCCTGCTTTGTGAAATACCCCCAAGAGAGAATGTAAACAAGGAGGTAAAACAAACAAGAACCAGGGAAAAGTACGTCAATGTTCCTCTGTAAGCTAACCGACATTACAATGTTAATTACTCCAGCGTTTGAACAGTAATATCACTAATGTAAATATTTACTATACAAAAGATTCTGATCAACACAACCCCCACCCACAGCCCTGCAGCAGGTCCACATATTTCACTGGATCATCTACTTAACATTAGATAATCAATGTACCACCAGCAGTTTTTATTTATGCTGAAGCAGCATCAGTAGCTACTTTTAATGTAGATCTTATTAAGCTTGTTCCTCTATGAAAATGAAGTCTGCTTCACAAACAACATCAGTTGTGGAAAAATTAGATAAATACCTTAATATATAAATACCTCTTATGTTTCCACTACTAACTTCTGCTGCACTGAATATGGAAGTGTCCATTATGAAAGGGTCTATAAAAGCTGTTTAATAAAAATGTGACTAAGCCCCTCTTGGCCAAACAAACTCTCTCAATCTTAACCAGCAGACAAAGATATGTGGGAGTGTGAAGTACCCCTTAAAAGTTTAAAGAAGCTTCTCATAATATAAAGTCTCTATTACAATTCTTGTAAGAAACATTACAGTATGTGGAAACTTTTTAAACCAACAGTGATTCTTCTATGGCAGTGTTCCACCCAGTTTAGTGTGTAGACCAGAGAAACGTTCTTCTGGAAAGTTCTTAACCAAAACATGCAACACGTGCTGACACACTGACAACACTAAAAATTAATTGTGTTGTTGCCTGTGGCTGGCTTTCTGCTGTTTTTCCAGACTGTCTGACCATCAGACCAAACACGCTGACTCAATTATTGCCGTCTGACAGAACACCCTAGTCTTGACAAGCTGACCAAACACACTGTCTCTACACCAACAACAAGACCAAACGCACTGTCTCTACACACAAAACCAGACCAAACAAATTGCCTTTACACCAATAACTTGACCAAACACACTGGCTTTACACCAACAACCAGACCAAACACACTTCCTCTACACCAACAACCAGACAAAACACACTACCTCTACACCAACAGACAAACAAAACACACTCTCTCTACACAAACAACCAGACTGTAAAACCTGCCTTTACACCAGCCAGACCAAACACAATGTCTCTACACCAACAGCCAGACCAAACACACTGTCGCTACACCAACAACCAGATCAAACAGACTTTCTGGTACAACCAGACCTGCTTGTATGCTAACAACTAGACTAAACACACTGTTTCTACACCAAGAACCAGACCAAACTCACTCTCTCTACAGAAACAACCAGACTGAAAAACCTGCCTGTACACCAGCCAGACCAAGCACACTGTCTCTACACCAACAACCAGACCAAGCACACTGTCTCTACACCAAAAACCAGACCAAACACACTGTCTCTATGCCAACAACCAGACCAAACAGACTTTCTGGTACAACCAGACCTGCTTGTACGCTATAAACTAGACCAAACACGCTGTTTCTACACCAACAATCTGGCTAAACATTCTGCCTCTACACCAACAACCAAACCAAACGCAATGTGTCTACACCAACACCAATTAAACACACTGTCTCTACACTAAAAAACAGACCAAACACACTGCTGGTACCCTAACAATCAGTCCAAACACACTACTCATGTGCCAAGATTTGGCTCTGTCATACCACCAGATACCTATTTTTATCTGCAGGCTCATTTAGTATGGAGCTCAGATGAGCAGCAGATCGATGAGGCTCTTGTGTTACCCTGGACCTGAGACTCCAGAGGGCCTTTTTGTCTAACGAGAACCCTCCATACTTTACTATAATGTAGGGTGTAATTTTCTGACCTGATCTGACCTGACCATTTCTGAGAAAATTATAAAATGCATCATTAATCTTAATTTTCACCACAATTTGGTTTGACTATTTGGCTACAATTCAGAATTGTTCTTAAAAAATACACCAAAAACACAAATGTGACTGTTTTATTTTAGTTAAATGTAGAAAACAATACCTCAAGCTTTAAATTTTACATTTCAAAGGAGGTTGAGAATTTTGTTTTGGCCAAAAATGATTGCATACTTTATTGGATATTATTCTGTCCAACTACAGTTAAATTCTAACATGCAGTTAAATTGCCACTTGCCTGGAAATGAGGCCCCCAGAGAGTTTAATTACCTTGATGAGCTCCTCCAGCTCAATGGGCGTGACGCAGGGATGCTTCTGCAGAAAGGCGGCCTTCTCTGCAGTGATGGTGTCCTTCTGGTTACTCTCGAATGGCTGCTCCAGGGCTCGGAAGGCCAGGCCACCGGCGACTAGATAGGCCACCACCACCACGAACACGGCCAGCACCGTCTTCCACTTCATGACGGTCAGCAGAGCTGAGCCATCGGCCACCGCCTCCATGCTGGCCACCATGCTGGCCGGCCGGGACATTGACAGACGAGGTACGGCGCAGCCCATTGGGTTCTGCATGGTGGCCACGCTGGCCTGCACCAGGCTGGACTGCAGCATCCCTGGCTGGACCTTCTTTGGTGGAACCAGGTTGGTCTGCACTGCCACTGCAGAAGAGACAAACAGAGGTTGTTAGAAATGTGGCTGCAGTGACACTGAGAAACTGAGACTGAGCATCAAATCCATGCACTCTATGGAGAGAAAAACCATAAGGCGGGGAGGATGAGGAGGATACTTCCCAGCCTAAGCGTTAGTGAGATTAGCTTTTTATGCTTCAGTGCAGCGTGGTAGATGTTGAGTCAGGGTAAACGTGAGATGTGTTGGTGTAAAAACACGATGGCACTTTGAGTAAATCGCACATACATTTCTACGTAGTCATCTAGCAGATGCTTTTATCCAGAACAACTTAGAAAAAAGGGCAAACATAAGCCAAAGCACTGCAAAGTACCACTGCAAGAATCCATAACATGTACATGAAGCATTCACGGCATATTAATGAACTGTACAGTAACACTCCATTACAATTACATGATAATTTTAAACATTTATGAAATGCATTGTGTACAATGGAATGGAATGGAAACACAGTCAGTGATGCTTACAGTAAACTTTATGATGTGTTCATGAATACATTAAAATTAGCCTTCCGTCTTTTCATAGAACCAATATGAATGCTACACACGATATGTATGCCTATAACATCATTCAAAAAGCATTCACGATTAACCTAAAATAATGACATTTAACATTAATATGCATGACTTGAACCTGTGCATGACTTTCACACAATATTCATACATTCAAATTTAATAAGGCACTCATTTGAAGTGCTTTGAACATGAATATATGTCATTTATAAACCCATTGAGTTGCTGTGTGTTTAGTATCATAGGCTCTTTATTTACAGAGTAGATTCAAATGTATTTACAAATATTCACTATATGTTTATTACACATTAAACAGCCAATAGACCCCAATATTAACTGATAAAGCAATAATATTGTTAATAATAATGCAATATTATTAATAGCATTAGTAATGCATTTTTATATAATTGTAAATAAATATTTGTAAGTTGATATTTTTGCTTGAAAATGTTTTCAAAATGGATGATGTAACACTTCTAGCCTTTTCCAAAGTCTTCAGATGAAAGAAATTATATTTGCATCAAAAAAAAAGTCACGTTTGACCTGAACATGACCAGAGGGCTAACAGTGGTACATTCCATTCTTCTCAATAATCTAATAAGTCTCAAATATTAAATAATGTCAGACTGAAAATGTAATAACTTTTTAATAATGTAATAAGATATTACATTTTGTATTATTATTGCAATAAGATATTACACTATCAATAAAAACCATATTACATTATCAGTTAAAACACTGTATTACATTATCGGGCACGATATTACATTATTTAGCTTTATTATATTTTTCACGAAGTTACGTGCAAACACAAAAGTTTCAAAATGTGCTGTTCACTCCACTCCATACAGTCTGTATCAGAAAAATAAACTGAAAAAAAGCCTGGAATTAACTGTTTTTGCAATTTCAAAATCAGCTCAATTACATACATCTACCTATTCAGTTTACAGAAGTTTAGCCCCACCCACTCATGCAAATATATACAGAGTGTTTAAGCCCAGACTGCTTTTCCAATGAGATAAGCAATCAGAACAGAGCTCATCTACATATATCATATTAACAGCCTGAATCATTTTAGGAGTTAAAGACAGACTGGAAAATGATCAATAGTATGACGATATCATAAACCGTAATAAAAGGTTGGACAATACAATGGAATAAAATCAGCTCATGTCTAGCACTCAAGCTTCAAAATAATGGATCTCAGGTCTTAGGTATCCATTTCTTTGTTGCAGATGTGCACAAGCACTGAGTGACTCTCTAATGATGTTATGAGCTGTCTGAAAACCCATTAAAGCTGAATGCATGCGGCAGAACCCTGCAAACACACTGATCCAATGGGGTGACTGAGTGCATATTCACAGTGTGCAGGTTTGGTTATATTGGACTGGACTGCTTTTTGAATGAGATGCAATACAGCACAGCCAATCACAACAGTGCTAATTTACATACTCTAGTTTTAAAGCCACAGTGACCAAAACAGCCTGTTTAGTTCTAAGGGAAAAAGAGAGGCTGGAAAAGCCTTTCATAAGATCATGATCATGTTACATGGTAGAGAGAGTGTTCAGTGTGATGTTCACTCTACCATTTAAGAATGTTTGTGCTAAAATGCCATAGTGTATAATTTTCTGCTTTATTCTGGACTGAAAGAACCAAACTACAGATATAAATGCACCCTGAAAACAGTAACTGGGGCTACTTTCTTTAAGGTCCTGTAAAAGCTGGATAACAGAGTTTATATCTGTATTGATGAAAAGTGATATTGAGTGAATATCGAGTGATATCGAGAAAATGCTAGGGGGCGTTATGGGAGTGAAAAGCAGGATGAATACAGTCCTAATCTGATAAATCTACCTGATAATCTAGGTAGTATTTTAGAATGACAGGCCCCAAAAACATCTTAACCAGCTTACTCATTCTCTAACAGAAGATCCATAGATGCAGATCAGCTAGTGGAGCACAAAGTCCAAACACTGTGAAGCAACTTTTAGCTGTAATGCTGCAAACAACTGGAACCAACAACCAGAAGATCCTCATTTTCATTTTTATTATAAGCTTTTATTCTAAATCCAATTACAGTAAGTCATACTGCACTCTAAACCACATCGGTGAGTTTGCACCAACTTAATGAGACCTGGATGCAGTTCAAGTGGCTGAGAGAAAGATGTATTTTCAAAAAAACTGTTTGAGCTATTTGGGTGACTATTGAGTTCTAGTGATTGTTAGTATTGTTAGCCTTGTAGCTCCAGTTATGAACCTAAGAAGCAAAGTGGGACAAGTGGAAAACTGTGTAAATTTGATTTTCCGCCAAACTCTGCCCTTTATATCAGTATCAGTATCAGTATTGGAGAGAAAAAGTGGTATCGTGCCATCCCTACACTCTTAAAAAGATGGTTCTTCAAGGGTTCTTTAGTAGAGACAATTATTCTGTATAGAACCATGAACACTCAAAGAACCCTCTGCATGCTTAAATGATTCTTTGCATGGTGAAATCATTCTTCAGACTGATGGAGAATGAGTTGTGTATGGTCTGTATAGAACTTTTTTGAAAATAGTTCTATATGGCACCTAAAAGGTTCTTCTATTGTTACATTATCAAGCTTATAACAATAGAAGAACCTTTTTTGGTTAAATATAGAACCAACACGTTCTCCATCAATCTGAACAACCATTTCACCATGCGAAAAAAATGTTGGCATGCAAATGCTTCTTTGGGTGTTCACGGTTCTATATATAACTGTCTTTTGTAAGAGTGTAAGTTTAGAGATGGACATGTCTACAGTGAGCTGAATTAAGATTAAGTCGGGATGTTTGCAGCCTGCAGCACTCTCCGCCTGCTGAATAGCATCTTTTGTTGGTATTGTCTTGCGCTGCACTGCCCTAAAGTGAGGTTTCTTGGCGCGCTGCACGAGCCCGGATTTTACTCCCTGTTGCGTCAGTGCTGTAATTTGAATCGTAAACATGCGCAAAACAGATTCACCAATAAAACAGAGCATGCATGTTAATGCCAGAGCTGAATATGAAGAATATACATCGTGACTTCCACATGATGCTGCTTGTGTAATCTGCAGTCGTGTTATGTGGACGTGCTGTCGTGGCTGATGGAAGCGCATCACGCGCAGCATTGAGGAACACAGATTCCCGCAAACGGGGGTTCTGCAACAAACTAGCTGAGCTCTGCTGCCCGTGTTTGGACACATTTACTGGCTTTCATGTATGCTTAGAATAATCTGAGGGCCCCCCCCTCCAACCCCTCCCTTGTGCACAGAGCTGTGAGGTAATGTGGCTGTTCATCATGCAGCAGCCGTAACGCTGCGTAACGAGCGGGAGCATCTGCTCATGTTCTGACACCAGCATCTCTACAGCGTGGGGCTAACTGGTATTGTTTGGTTTCAAGGTGCCAAGAACAAAGCTCAGGTTTTGGCCTCTTGGTTGAGAATTTTCCGTTCCACCTTAAATGCCTCGCGCCAAAATGGAACTGCTGCACCATTTAAGGTGGACAGAAAAATTTGAACTTCAGCCTTGGTTCTTCCAATCACAGACACACACATACACATTCGAATAGCAACGATAGATTTGTATTAAAATGTTTGGTTCGTTTACAGCTTTGCATGACGCTGTTTGCGCGTGGACTTTTTGTGCCCACCGTGCCAGCTGGAGCGTGATGAGGAATACGATACCCATACGAAACTTCTGCCCACGCGGCTACAGCCCATGCAACACGAACGGGCGCGCTTATTTGGGTGAAAACGCAAACAAAATTAACCTTACACACCGAAATTGCGCTTGCGTTTAGTAGTAAAATGTAAATTTGCGGCACAAATAAATTAACTTAAATACCATGGGATATTTTTTTTATGCACGCGCGCTCTACCCACCTGGAGGTGGTCCGAGGTTGGTCCCTGGCTTCCTGGGGTTTTCCGTTGGAAATTTCATCTTAAGATGGTAGAAAAAATGCGCTTGACAACGAATTTAAAAACCGCTAAAATGCGCCAGTGGCTAATGCAGTAGAAACTCGTTCGTGGCTGTTGATAAAGCCCAGACTGGGAGCTTCATTGCTGCTGCGATGCAGCGTCTCTCGAAAGAGAAGTTCCTCCGGGTTCTACATCGTCCAGGTTCTCCAGCAGGCTGCGGTACTGGAGTGCGTTACACAATGGAGCTTCAGTGGTCAGGTTTTGGCTCGCCTCAGCCCTTCATATCCCCTCCATCTGCTGCCCATACGCCTACTGGCGGAGAACTGTCAGAGCAGAGTGATGTCCAGCAGCTCTAGAGCTCTGCGGGTTCAGGAGGATTGGCGACAATCTCCCTCTTCATGATATTCCTGTCTGGTCAATGTCTCGTAAAGACCACAGCTGCAATGAGGATGATGAAGGAGGCTGCTGTAGACCCCTGCGGGGGGGTAAACGTGATGTCCCCCCTTACGTAACACCTTCATGGTGTTTACGTGCGATTCACCTTCAGCAAAATCATTTAAACGTTCATCAGACATCCGTTCTTTACAGAATGATGCACTTTAGCAGGAAGACTGTGCAAAAATGTTTAGACAGTGACTGCAGTGCGTAATGCTGGAGTCACGCATGCAGGTATCTGGTTATAGAAGCACAAACAAAACAACTCAGATTCTTCATCTGTTGCATTTCAGGGAGCAGCTGCCAGTTATTGTCTCGCTATAACGCAGACGAAGTACAAAAAAATTCAATTTATTAATCCACGTGGTTTTAATGGGGTTTAAATCAATATCAGTATTTTAACATGTTTGTAGAGTAACAGTTTGATGTATCTAAGAAAGAGATTAATAGTGCAGGTAAAGAGATCAGGGAGGTCAGTCACTGCTCAATATATGTATATGTTGTGACAGCGACCATTAACATACCATAAAATCTTACACAATATGTGTTCTGAATAAATACAAATGCACAAAAATACAGTAAAAAGAACAAGAACTTCATTTTTGGCCAAAAGTAGCTGATATCTTGTGAGTTAGTTCGAAGAACAAAGTTTGGTTCCAGATTTATCCTCCAGCATCACATGGATTTATGAAACTCCATCAGCAGCACGTGACTGAACACAATGAAGTACTGAATAGATAAAGCAGGTATTGGATCATAACTACAAACCATACTGGGCTTCCTCAAAGAGAAGACAGGAAGTGGTAAAATGAACACTTTGACATACACAAAATCACTACTTTATTATATTAGTATTTTTGTATTTATTCTAAAAAATGTTTTTAAAACCTAATTGTGTAATGATGTAAAAATAATAATATTTCTAAAAATAAAATAATAAGTGTTGTGATGGATTAAGACCCACATTTTAAAGGGTTATACAAACAGTCCAGACCGTTTAAGCACCATGGACAGCAGCATGAACACAATACAGAAACTAAGTGACTGAATGACTGACTGACTGACTGACTGACTGAATGAATGAATGAATGAATGAATAAATGAATGAATGAATGAATGAATGAATGACTCACTGACTGAATGACTGAACAAGTGACTGATTGACAGAATGAATGAATGAATGAATGAAAAACTGACTTAAGGTCCAAATGACTGACTGAACGTCTGACCGACTTACTGACTGACTGATTGACCGATTAAATAACTGACTGATTGAGTGGCTGACTGACTGAGTGACTGACTGATTGACTGACTGACTGACTGACTGACTGAAAAACCTTTTAAATGATAAACATGAGTCAGAATCTCAGACATGAAAATAACAGTAGGCTACTGTTTTGCATTATTATTGTAAATTGTATGACTGTGTAAACAGTATATAGTGATATTACCACAATTTACCTCATTTTGAACCATATATGCCTGCATGTTGTTCTAAGTACAGTCTTATATGGTTCTATATAGAACTTTTTTGAAAATGGTTCTATACAGCACAGCAGGTTCTACTGCCTGGCCGGTTAGCTCAGTTGGTTAGAGCGTGGTGCTAATAACACCAAGGTCCTAAGGGGTTCCCCATATGGGCCACTGACCCCTTTTTTGGGGGGACAGTCATGAGCTGGAGGTTAGCAAACCAGCCTTGTGACCAGAAGGCTGACCCCTGAGCCTCAAAATAGTAGATTTGAAAGCCTCAAAATAATTTCTGCATAGTGTAGGTTCTACACCAATTAAGATTTACCTAGTCCAGGCCAAGAACCATTCAAGAACCTTCAATGTTTAAGAGCATGAGGGTACAGTGATGAATTCCCTTTATAGCAAAAATCCACAGCTCCAGTGTTCCTCATCTCTGATCATTTTCCATCAAGGAGGAAAGTGTGGAGCGTGACTGAAATTATAAAGCAGATTGAATCACTATAATCATCATTTATACATTTAAGGAGCTCCATAAATCAGTCCAGTCACTGAAAGAGATCTGACAGAATTCAAATCAGCTCTTCATTTCTCAGCAGGTCTGACACATTCATGAACGTTCCAGTCATTTACAATGATAAAAAATGCTGCAAAACTATGAAGATACATCTTCAATTTTAAAATAAAGGTGACAAAAAGGGTTCCTTGTAGCAGTGTGTGAAATGCTCCATTCTAGAGAAACTTACCGAGTCAGAATTGTTCACAGTGGTGGTGATAGGAACCAGACGTCCACCTCTAGAAGCTCCCTCACAGAAAGTTATTACATGAAATGGTTATGAATGCACTGTCTGATGACTGAGATATTGTTTTATGATAGTTTTGCGAACTTAAAATCCATTCATGGTGGAGGGATACATGCAGGGAGCTGTGAGGCAAAATAATACCATCATCAACATTCCATGTAAAACTCAGAAGACTCGTGTAGGTTCACTGGTGTTTTTGGATAGTAAATAAAATATTTGTGTTGTAGTCACGGTGACGCCTGGTTCCTATCACCACCACTGTAAAGAAATGTGAACCATTTCACACCAAACCACTCTGAATCTCTCTTTTTTTACATTCATAATTTTTGTTACTCTATATGCAGTGATTACACATTGCAGATTTAAGTACTTTAAACCAGACATCAAAAGGTATTTTAGATGTTTTATTTGATATTTCAAGTATTTTGGCAGCATTAAGTCCAGTTTTTCACCTCGAGATGTGATTGTCACTGTTGACTTATTTATATTAATTCCATGCAGTAATTTTAGCATCCTATGCAGCCCTGATCATCATTCTGGACACAACTAACATTAATTAATGAATGAATGAATTAATTAATTAGCTCCCCACTAATTATTTGTAAACTTTTAAAGTTGTTCAGGACTGGTGTATACGAATCATTTCATACATTTACCTGCCAGTTAAACTCCAGTGTGAATGTGAACAGCGCCATCTCCTGGCAAGGTCAGTGCAACAGCTGCTCTTATGCAGCTCTGTGAGTAATTCAAGCTGAGATGTTGTGTTAATGTTCTGGGTAAACTCCATGCTTTGAAACATAGTTATCAAACCACTTTATGATGCATTTTATTAATAACACATTAAAAGGCAAGTATGATGAGCTGGGCTATCTGAAGCTCTCCCGATGTGTTTCATTTCAGAGCTCTGTTTACATTAATGTGGCCAAATCTCAGCACTCTTCCACACTGTTTGTGCCTCACTGCCGCACTACAGCTGACAAATAAAACCAGTCTTAATCAGCCATAAAAACTGCTTTGAAGCATTTATCTGGGCGGTTAGTGTGATTATATCCTTAAAACACTGTGTAACATTTTAATAAACTCAAATAAACATAGATGTCATAATGTGTTGTTTTTAGTAAAGGTAGATGAACACAGTCAGAAGAAGGTTTCAGCAGGGTTAGGACCATATCAGGATAAAAGCGAAATTTCTTAAAGGGGAATTTCAGCCTATTTTCCAAAATTCCCCTAGAAGTGAGTGTATGAGAAGTAAACAGAGTGATTTAGAGTGGTTTGGTGTGAAATGTTTCAGATTTCTTTACAGTGGTGGTGATAGGAACCAGGGGTCGCCATGACAACAACACAAATATAGACATTTTATTTACTATCCAAAACCACCAGTGAACCTACACGAGTCTAATGAGTTTATATGGAATGTTGATGATGGGAAAATAGTGGAAAATCTGAAATTTTCTCTGGGGACTATTTTGCCTCACAGCACCCTGCATATTATGTATCCCTCCACCATGAATGGATCATGAAACAATGTTTCAGACATCAGGCAGTGAATTCATAACCATTTCATGTAATAACTTTCTGTGAGGGAGCTTTTAGAGGTGGATGTCTAGTTCCTATCACCACCAACAATTCTGACTCTGTAAGTTTCTCTAGAACAGAGCACTTCACACCAAACCACTCTGAATGACTCTGTTGACATCTTAACCATTTAATTATGATGGAATTTTGAATCGGTGGAGTTCCCCTTAATCTGGCTCTGATTATAACGCACCATCATTAAAGCAGGAGTTTTTATTTCTCTGTCTTATTCTCTCACTGGTAGAGCTCCATCAGGGCATTGCTAATCTTACTGATTCTTAAAGATGTTGACTGGGCGCCATCTAGTGGTCATGCAGAGCTTTACATGAAGACACTAGGTTTCATCAGAAGGGCTGTAGAAAGTTCTAGAAGAGTGGAGAAGAGACAGTGTACTGAAGGAGAGTGTACGCTCTTCAAAAAAATGGTGTTTCTTCAAAGGTTCTTGGCTCTATTTACAATCCCGAGTTCTACTTAGAACCTTTTCATGCTTAAATTGTTTTTTGCAAGGTGAAATGCACTCAGTATGTTTTGTTTGGTTTTACATATACATGTTACATTCCATATACATATACAACACATTCCTCATTAATCTGAAGAACGATTTCACCATGCAGAGAACCATTTAAGTATACAAATGATTCTATATAGAACTCATGGTTCTAATTCTATATAGAAAGCATGGTTCTAGAATTGATCCTTTTAATAAAGAACCAATGATGAACCATCTTTTAAGAGTGTAGATTTACAGCAGGTTCTAAATCTCTGAGTAAAGACCATTACAGACAGTAATTATACTGATCCAACATCTGCACTCACTCATATGACTGTCCTCTGTTTGATTACTGATTAATATTAACAACAACAACAACAACGACAACAACAAAAGTAAGAAGAAGAAGAAGAAGAAGAAGAAGAAGAAAGAGAAGAAAAAGAAGAACAAGAATAATATTTAGTGTAATTTGTATAATTCAGAAACTCAACATATGCATTCATTTAAATTAATTTTACTTTGATTTTCGATGTGTCTGTATATGCTGACTTTATTGTATTGAATAGAAATGTTATATTAATACATTTTCTCATTTTTAATCTACAAAAGCTCAAAATAAACATATAAGTAGTAACTACATACATACATCA